AACTAATGAAGCAGCCTGCACTTTTCCACATTAAAATATAGTAAACTACTCTCGGACCTATCACCCGACTATTACTATACGAGGCGCCTATTTAGTGCTAAACTGACAATGGATATTTCGCATCTAAATACTGACTATCAAACTGGTGAAAAGATAACTGACTAATTCCTGCCCAGCATCGGCAAAATTGCCGGCTTTTATTACTGTTTTTATACTGGGTACTACTGTACATAAGAGCTACCGCGAATTTATACAAAAATCTTTATGTACTATGACAAAACAAAGTCCATTAAAATAGTAGGAATAGTCAACATATTAATGCAAAGTGGAAGCCCAAAGTTTCCTATTGAGAATTCGAAGAGTAGAACTGGTATGATATCCAGCTCAAGTTGAGGTCCTATCACAAAGCTTGGTGATCAAACGGCACAGTAGTTAAATCTAAGCCAAGGAACATTTAGGTAGGAGCCAAATAGGCTAGAGAAAGCCAAGTTTATGCGTCAGTAACTAATAAGCCCCCAGAATACAAGAACAATTAAGCTAGGACCTAAAATGACGAGTAGTTGTTTGACCTTCTTTTCGCAACAATGTTATATTGGCAGGAAGACCTAGAGGAACGCATCTTGTTCGTAGTACATGAGAATTTAAAGAGACGGACCGTGAACATGGTACTATACTACTACTATACACCAAAGGAGACTGTAACCCAAAAGATCCTGGTCTTGGTAGCTACGTCTAAAACGAGGCTGCCTGGATTACAAAATGAAAACGAAGAAATTGCTTACGCATATGCCCAAGTACACAAGAGGACTGGGATGCGACACCTGGCTTTCGTGGCAATCACAGAGGTGTGCTAGTTGAAACCAGGAATAGCTTCGCCGCCCCTCGAATTATGATGACCCAAAAACAGACAGGAATCCTCCAAGCGTATAACTAGGTCCCGAGATTAATTATCAAAAACAGGCAAGTTTTACACTTAAGAATCAATGATAGCTTCGAAACGTGTATTAGAGCCAGTGGCTAGAAATGCCAAGTAGTAATTTATGCGCCAAGCTAACTGTCCCACATCATTAAGAAAAGTTAGAAGCCTAAGAGTGTAATCCACAACTAAAGCATTCAGTAGGGTCTACACCACGAACAGAAAGATAAATGAGATGCTCGGAGCAGCCACCAGTGGATTCATTGCATCTGGCTAATATGAAAGCTACATGCAAATAACAAGACAAATCCGTCGGTCGAATTACAATGACAGCTTAAGGAAGTAAGAATGATGCGGAATCTGTGTCAATTACAGATACGCCGGGTGAGCAAGAAGCGTGAGCGACTTGAAATGATCTATTACGCTTGGCTGTAAACGCAAAGACTGGGCAAAAGTGAGCTATATAAGAACTCTAGACGCAAATGAAGGTTAATTAGGAATAAAGGACTGTGAAAAATAAACAAACGAGTTTAAATAGAAGGGCGTTTATTATAACAAAAATCAGGATATAGGTAGAGGGAGATCATCCACAGACTTGTAGCACTTATCGTACAGCTCCTCATAGTCTTCATGTTTCTTTATCAAAATACAAAAAGTAGTTTTTCCCACACCGTAATTGGCTGACAAATGCAGGTAGGAGGGCACGTAACAATACGGTACGTCATGTTCTTCAAGCGTTACCGGAACATGAGCAATAGTATCTATTGGGGATATGTTCCCAGCAAGTACGACAATCCCAGATTCATTCCTCTTAATAATATCTTTAATTACAGCTTTTACGCCTAATGTGCACGACTTCGTCCTTTTTGCCTTTCTCATCAGTTTAAACAATCGTTTGGTGAGCTTTTCTGAGGCAAGTGGTTGAGCAATAGGACTTAGGAAGGAACATTGCTGCTCATAAGAAAGATCTGAGAGAGGAGAAGTAAGCTCATCAACAGGCTGGTCCTCCATTGAATGGAGGTACCGCGTGCCGAAAGGTAAGGATCGCGCTCACTGAGGCGGGAGATCATAACAAAATAAGCCAATAATACTTATTAATAAATATGTATAACAATATGTTTATAATTTAGAATACTTGAATTTAATTAAATTATAATAAATATTATATTTAAGTTAGGAATACTACTGTTTTAACTTTATGACATACACTACTTATTTAAATAATTAGATCGGAAGATCTGCATGGCCACCCTATTCACCGACCCTCAGCCCTCTTCTGCCTGTCATGACTACTTGTATAAATTAAAGATAGTAGGTCTCTTGCTCTTATTTGAAGACTTTACAAAACGTTCTCGACCAAATTGTTCCATATACTGTCGTCCGGTGGGTTTATGTGGCGGCCATATCAATATTGTACTGTTTCAGGGTCTATTTGACTCAGGTATTATTTAGTTTTATTCATTTTCAGGGCTTTCACGTTGTTTCCTATGCATTAGCTATTTACTTACTTAATTTAACGATAGGGTTTATCTCACCCAAAATAGATCCAGAACTTGAATCAGGTAATGACCTTGTGCCAAGTATATCTCCTAAGGTGAATACAATGAGCTGCCTATGAGAGAATCAGGTGAATTCAAACCATTTATTAGAAGGCTTCCTGAATTAAAATACTGGTAGTTGCCTCTTATTTTCATTTGAATTCCCAGGCTTGGATTTGCAGTGTCTTTCACTATTTCTGTCTTCTGTACGTTTTTTGATTGTCTGGATATTCCAGTATTCTGGCCACTATTAGTGGTGTACTTCTTTGCATTATTTTATTCGACAATGAAGCGCCATATTAAGGTTAGTATGTAGATGTCACGATTTTGGTTTTCTTAACTGAACAAATATCCTGATTATATTGTTAAGATTTTCCAATGAGCATTAATCTAATATTGTTGATATATCTTTGCGTGGCTTACTGATTTTGTGGTATTCTTCGATATTTTGCCGTATTTATCTAGAGTATGCTCAATATTCAGTGACCTCTTATTTTATTACCTGGTAATTTCTTTTGTTAGCTGCCATTTAGCTCGTCTTATTTAGTGTTCTTTTTAAACAAATCCTTGTATTATAATCGGGTTTATTTTTGTATTAGCTTAAATCAGACAAATTGAGCTATCCATAATTCTGTTATCTCAAGTTTTGTCAACTTAATGTTACAATTCTTGTGTCGTTCTATCACTACGTGACCGTGGACCTACATACTGGTAGCGAGTTGATAAAATTATTGCACCTATAATCCTTCAGTATTTAATTATTATGATAAAAACGAAGGTAAAAATGCTTCAAGATCATATGCCACGAGCATAAATTGTTCCCCTCTGGCGAAGCCGCTGTACTCGGCCATCACGACGAACATAGTCGTTAGTAAATGCTAAAATGGCTAAAAATCTACAAATATCAATAAGTAAGCTTTAAAACCACATGCATTCAGTTATTATACTTGGTCTTGAATGTCATCTTAATGTCCCCAAAATTAATGTCGTTACTTTGCTTATCGATCACCACATCATTTTTTGCATGTTCCAAGTTCAGATCTTCTGTACGATTAGAAAGATATGTAATGACAGATTCAGGGTTTCGGAAACATCTATGCATTTGAGATACCTTTGACTTACAAGTGATAGACGAGAGCTGTCCCACATTATTAAGAAAACTTAAAGGCCTAAGAGAGTAATCCATAACTAAAGCATTCAGTAGGGTCTACACCACCTACAGTTAGATTTTCAAGGTAGTAAAAATGTATTTGCCATTAAAATCGACAGAGTTATATATGCAGGTAAGTTTTGAATAAATGTTTTTGCATTCCAAAATGACTCAAATTGGTCGAATTCCCTTTGGAAACTAGTTGTCCTTAGTTTTTGTTTGCTTCATTTTTAGAAATGAGAGCTTTTATTTAAGGATTTTTGTTTTCACTAGTTGATGGAGTTAACATAGTGATAATTCAATGTATATA